TGAGTTTGGTGAGGATTGACTCAGCACAGCCTGACCTAGGCCCACTTCTGCCCACCCACCTTATTCCTCACTCCACCTCACCACACCCCAAGATTCCAGCCCACTACCTCAGCTTTATATAAGTCCCTGCCTTGATGCAATAAAATGAGATCCTGCTTCGACAGACTCCTGGCTCAGTGTGTGTTTCTCCCCATGGCCAGGGGGGTGGTCTGGATCATCCACACTCACCATCACCATCCTGTTCAGCCCCAGGGAGAGACCGGCAGGACCAGCTCTGCCTCAGCCTTATCTGCTGAAGAACCCAGCAGACGAGGAGTCTTGTTTAGTTACCAGCATGCACCTAGTGGCTCACAACCATCTGTCTCCAGTTCCAGAGGATCTGACACCCTCTTCTGACCTACGAGAGCACCAGACATTCATGTAGTGCACACACATACGTGCAGACAAAACATCCACACGTATAAAATAAATCCTTTTTTTAAAGGTAGATCTCTTAGTCAAAAATAGCTTTTCCTTTTCTTCTAGAATCATTCACTAGAGGGTACCACCTTTTAAAAATAAAAATGAGAAAAATCCCAGCCCCCTCCTGAGCTTCACTCAGCACTCCTTCCTACATATTCATCTCTAGCCAGTCAGAAGGGTGCTTTCAGCTCTTCTTTGATTATGGGGAAACACAAGTTAACAAAAAAGGTACATCATTTCTGAATTGTCAATATCAGTTAAAAAGCATCCACATGCATTTTGGTCATTCTGTAACCACCCAATGTAACCCTGTTCCCTTCAGAATGTTATACCTGCTTCTCCAGAGCAGCTCGTCGCGGCCTGCTGAGCCCCGGCAGCCTCTTGACACCGTTCTGCTTACCACGCCAACGAGGTTTCCACGTGGATTGATGGGTTGTTTTTCACGCCCTGAACTGGATTTTACTGGGTTTTCTCCAAACCACTGGCTGCCTTTCTTTCACAGGCTCCGTTGAGAGAATTCAAAGTTGAGCAATTGCTTCAGTTTACAAACAAGAGAGCATTTCCTAACAATATCCCATATATTTGAAAAGACTTTATCCCCAACACATTTGGGCTGTTTCATTGAATTACGTAATCGTTAACCTTCTGTTCTTCAGAGGTTCTGGGTCCAGTGAGAAGTTACCACTGTTCAGTCGAGTGGAGCTGTACAGATAACGGATGTGGGAAGTTGAGTCCTGAATTCTGCTTCCCTTTGCATTCATGTTTCCTTCGCTGTGATAAACACCCAACAGAAACAAACTTAGGAAAAAAGACTCTGTCTCTCTCATAGTTTCAGAGGGTGCCTTCCTGTCTGTGGTTCTTTGGCTCTATTGTGTCATAGAATAAACATATTCTATGACACATATGACATAGAATAGACATAGAGGAAGAATATCACAGTGGGTAGAAGAGGCTGTCTATCCCTAAAAGACTTCAAAACCACACACTCGGGGACCTATTCCTTCCTGCAAGGGTCCTAAAGTTTCCAAACAGTCCACATTAGCATCATCACGAGATGTAAACCCAGGCTCCGATGCGTGAGCTCATGGGGGGAGCATTTCACATTTCAACCACAATATCTTTAGCTGTTCTTCAGGCTTATTGATAGAGACGGGGCAGGTTCAGGAGTGAAGCATCATGAGTTATTGAGAGTTACCTTTTAAAATAAAAATAGAATAACTTTTAATACACACATTTGTTCCTGAATCTCTGGATGGTTTTCGCCTTTGCTTACACTGTAAGCTTCAGAATCCTTTACCTCGGTACTCAGTTGTCATTTAAAGATAGCTACTTCCATTGCTTGTCTTCTTGTTTCTCTGCTTCCGGGCTTCTGAGAAGCAGTTATTTCTGGCACTCCAAATGAATGCTCTGCTCCCGAGGGTCTTGGAAACAGTACATAATTCCTTTTTTTTTTCCCAAAGTTTATCAAATTGTAAAAGTTTCCATTTCCGCCCCTCCTCCCAACACCCTCCCACTCCCCCCACTCCCTCTCCTCCTCCCTCTCCATCCCTAAGAGCAGTCAGGGTTTCCTGCCCTGTGGGAAGTTCAAGTTCCTCCCCTCTCCCTCCAGGTCTAGGAAGGTGAGTATCCAAATAGACTGGATCCCAAAAATCCTACATAATTCCTTTTTAACACAGGAAGAATGAATGCTCTGGGGGACAGTCCCAAAGAAGAAGGAGAGTTTACAAGGCAAGAAGAAGAAGGTCTCACCGCTAGTCTGGTGTCCTTGGGCAGGAGAAAGCTGGCTCCTGACAGAAGTGAGGGCTCGGCCCTTTGTTTATCATGGCAGTTGGCATGGGAACCACGTGTGGAACTTTCAGTCTCTACCTGCTCCACAGGAGAGGTTCTGAGAACCCAAGTTGGTGTGGTGGTTTGGCTAGGGAATGGCTTTGGGAAGTGTGGCCTTGGAGGAAGTGTGCCTCTGTGTGTGGGGTGGGTTTTGAGGTCTCCTATGCTCAAGCTACGCCCAGTGTGGGACACAGTCTCTCCCTACTGCCTGCGGATCAAGATGTAGGACCCTTAGCTCCATCTCTAGTACCGTGTCTGCCTGCACGCCACCATGTTTCCTACTGTAATGATAGTGGGACTACACCGCTAAGTGTAAGCCAGCCCACGTAAATATTTCCCTTTTTAAGAGTAGCCATGGTCATGGTGTCTCTTCACAGCAATAGAGACCCAAACCAAGACAGAACTGTTGGTCATCCAGCAGTTACTCAGACGAGACGGATGTGAACTGAGGGGGCAGGGTCAAGATCATGTGCCACACTCAGGAGAATCAGAAGTTCTCAAGCGGACATTGTTGTTAGCCTGGCTTCAATACCGTAACTCTCCACTCCTTCTCAATGACACAGACAGTAGAGCGTTGATGTTGATGAACTGTCCAGACCCACGGTAGGCGACCACCAGCTGAAATGAAGACAGAGGAGCCTACTGGGGACCATTCCTCAGAGCACTGTCGAGCCTTGGGGGTGGGTCTCAGAAGGGAGCTGAGTCTTGAATTGGGCGGAACCAGAGAGTCTGGAATTCAGGATTTGTTAAGGAAGGCCTTGGTGAAGGGATGTGTTTCTCCATCCGACACAGCGGCTACTCTAGATCATAGGGGCAGTTTTTAACTGTTCAAAAACACCATCTAGAAATAACAGAAACCCATTCACGGAGTACTCAAATATGTCCAGTAACAGACATCCCTAAAATTATCAACAGAAACACCCCAAATTTAGGGTTTCCGATCTGTGTATACTCATCAGGAACTGCTGGAGACAGGCATTAGGTTGTACCTGTGACCGCAGCATTGCAGGGGCTTCCACTCCCTGCTGGGCTGTGCCCAGAAAGTTTGTTTTAGAGGTTGAACTCCACCTCCAAGCATTGGAGAATGGAGTTGCCAGGTTGGGCTGTGAGTAGTATTGGCTTAGGGGTTCGTTGTACCCCATTTTCTCTGACAACGGTTGGCAGCCTTGGGTAGAGCCATCAGACTTCAGCCCGGAAGTCCTGCCCCTGGAGGGCCACCCTGCATCCCTCACCTGATCAAGAGCTGTAGAGTCTTTGATCTCTCTCTGTGCTGCTAGCATCCTTGTCTGTTCGTTTCTCAGCGTCACCCACTTGAACTTAGACACCAAGTCAGGGCCTCTGTCTTGTTTCCAGTGTTAACTGCAGAACTTAAAACAATTTTTAAGTCACATCTCTTAGCCAATAAAAATTTAGGGTGCAAATGGTATTACCCCTCGGTCTTGTAACTATCCTCTCTCTGCTACATCTGCTATCCCAAACCCTCCCTTCCCATCTCAAGCTTTAAAAACCTCTAGTCTTCCCCTGGTATCAGGGTGCCCACTTCAAGTCTTACCGCAGGCTGCAGGAAGGACCACACTGGATCCTTGAGAAGGAACTAGCAATTTATAAGGGGACACTGCATTCTCATGTTTCTGTCCTGCAGGGCAAATATCTGTTCTTAGCTGTCCTGGGCTCCCCGTCTGAAATCTGGTCTCACCTATCCCGACAGAGAACAGCAACAACAACAAAAATATGGGCATTGACCCTGGGTTTGAACTGAGAGAAAGCGACAGTCAAGATCATCTTGAAACCCTCTCTGGAGCTCCTGACTGTCGTCAGCTCGCTGGCTGTGCAGCTTCCTTGCTACTGTACGTACGCCCAGAGGGGTTAACAGTGGACCGATGTCAAAGCCTAAAAATAAAAGTCAGTACGCAAACAACGGGGTTTGTCAAGGAACAGTTACTCGCCCGCAGTTGTATTTTTCTCTGAATTCCAATCATTTGTTGCGGGCACTGAGGACAAACAGAGCCGTGGTCGGATTCCCCTGCCCGCCCTAGTCTGATGGCGTCTGTGTGGATGTGTGTCACCCAGCCCGGCCTCCACAAGCTATCCGCGTGGAGAGAGGGTTGAGTTTGTTTCAGGCTTGGGTGTGCTAGACGGAGGAGCCATCTTCCTCTCTCTCTACACACTGACTACCCAGGCCTGTGCACACCCCCTCTAATAAACTCCTAAGTTGGTTTGTTGCATGTTCCATGTTTCTTTCCCTCTTGGGCCAGGTAATTTCACCTATGATTTCTTTGCACTCTGCTCTATAGCTTAAAACTATACTGTAAACTCTTAGGATTTGGAAGTTTATCTGGCATGGCTTAAAATCCATTTGTAACAAAGTCTGTTTCCTCAGAAAGTTTTGTCTATTTTTATGGATGGATGGATCTGTGTCTGTAAATCTTCTTGTGGACACGGAGTCGCACAAAATTGTGTCAGGCTCAGTTAAAGGTATAAATGCATGTGGCCAGTGTCTGTTTGTTTCTGACTGGCCTTGGACGTGTGAGTTTCCTATGTCCCGTGTGTCTCTTGTCTTGGTGATAGCTCAGCTGTTACTGTTGCAACTAGCCACCTGGGCTCAGAATTTGCCGCTGGGATTTCTGGCCACTGAATCTGATGTAATAACAGAGATTTGTGTGTCGTTTGGGCATTAATGCTATTAAAGTTGTTTTATGCTGTTCTACTTTATTGAAAAAAACAGCTAAGGGAATTGAGTATGGTTAATATCTGTAACAAAAGGTTAGCTTAACACTTGCAGCCTTCAACTGTAGCTGTTCTAGGAAATGAGTATTTGCCTCCATCTTAGCTAAACTAAGCCCAGCCATGTGGGCAGATGCCATCTGACAAGGGTTAGAGAAGCAGGAGGCCATGTGACCTCATCACCATCTTGATGAAAGGTAACCAACCACACGGAGTGGGTCGACCACGGAGACAACAACAGGTCTCCAAGATATTTTGGTTTAGGATGGATCTTGTATAATTCCTGTCCTGTCCTGAAAGCAAGGTTTATGAAAGACAGCATTTAAAACAACATTGGCTTAATGAGGCATTAAAGCTGCACCTCCATGCGTTCATGTACGGGGTGTATCTTGCTGGCAGTTAGATTTTGTCACATAAGAGTACTGATTTTAGAGAGACTGAATTGTTTACACTGTTGAAACTTGGTTTTGCTTCTACAAATATAAAATGTTCAATAAGAAAGCTTTTTATAATAAAGAGGCATGCAGGCTCCTGCCATACCTCTATCTCTTCCAAAGACGTTGGACACAGAAGAACTTCCACCTGGAACTTGCTTTTTTTTTAAATTTTTTATATATTTATTTATTTATTCTGTATACAATATTCTGTCTGTATGCCTGCAGGCCAGAAGAGGGCACCAGACCTCATTAGGGATGGTTGTGAGCCACCATATGGTTGCTGGGAATTGAACTCAGGACCTTTGGAAGAGCAGGCAGTGCTCTTAACCTCTGAGCCATTTCTCCAGCCCCAGTTCCTGTCATTCTTAATACATTCGGGAACTGCTTGGTCTGCACTTCTGCTTGCTCAGATACTGCTGTATCCTTCTCAGATTGGTGGTGTTTGACGACTAGGCTAGTAATGTCTCCGTCAGTTTAACAGGTCTTTCTCCAAGGCTCCGACCACCTTTATAGTTCACTGGTTAGGTCACTAGTTAAGTTTCTTGTTAAAAATGCAGACACGTTTGCCTTGTTTGCAGGCTTCATAGTGAAGGATGAACAGGTTTTAGATGTAACTTTCCACTAAAGAACCACAGAAAATGATTTAAGATGTATAAATGCAAGTTGTAAAGGTATAAATAAATGAAGTAAGGGGTATAAAGATGTTTTGGACTTCTATGTGATTGTTACCCTGGGATTGTGGAGGTTCAGAGTTTTAGCATTGACAAATTGATAAATGGAGTTCTGATAAACTGACAGCACTGACTATGTACTGTTCTGCCACAAGCTCAAGGTTTTACCTTTCCTTTGATTGTCTTCTAAGTATAGATTTAAAGGTGCATTTCATCAGGCTAAGATCAGGCTCTGTAGACATAGGAAAAATGCTCATGCCTTTAGACCCAAAGCCATAGCCTTTGCTATGACACCAAGGTGTAAATCTGTTCCAGCTGTTTACAGACACCTGCATGTTTCTGGAGAAAAAATGATGCTACTGTACCAACTAATCTGACCTGGTGGAAACTAAGACCAAGTGTCCACAGATTATCCTAAGAACTTCACCAATACAACCAGGGTGGTGTGGGAGTTAATACATGCTGTGGTTAGGCTTTATTGCCATTGGTTAATAAAGAAACTGCTTTTGGCCAATGGCTTAACAGAATATAGCCAGGCTAGAAGAGATATATATATAGAGAGAGAGTGGGTGGAGTCAGGGAGAAGCCACATAGCACTGCAGGAGATAGACCCCTGACGCCGATGCTTGAAGCTGAACAGCCACATGGCAATACACAGATTAATGGAGATGGGTTAGTTTAGGATATAAGAGCTAGCTAAACATATGCTTAAGCTATTGGCCAAACAGTATTGCAAATAGTATAGTTTCTGTGTGATCATTTCGAGTCAGGGTGGTTGGGAATAGACTAACAGCCTCTGCCAAATGGGGCAGCCTCTCCTAACACGAGGGCACATCTCCGTTCACTTCTTTCTGGCAATCTCTTCCCATGGCTAACCCCTTCACAGGACTGGTGGTAATAATCTATTTTTTCTCCTAGCACTTTGCCTGCTCTGTTTCCTCCAGGAACCGAATTGCAAGGTCTCCAGGGTGGCGGGTAACTGAATGCTTCTCCACCTGTACCTCCCACTGACCACGAGCCCGTCAACTCCTGATGCCCCCACCACCACGTTGTCCCACGCCGACAGGGAGTAACCTGATTTTAACTGGAACTCATATATCAAAAAATGTTCTAATCTCTATGCCACATACTAACATTCTTCTCCTCTGA